ATACTTAGTATGAACTACACGAAAGTAAAGTAACTACAATTAGTAGATACTATTTACTTTACTTAGTAAGTTAATTAGTTACTATACTAAGACTCGTCTCCTCTCTCTCTCTCTCTCTCTCTCTCTCTCTTCACCCTTTCTCCCACACACATACACACAAACTCGCACATACAATACCCATGCATTGCATGGCCATGGGTCAAGAACAAAAAAACAAAAAATAAAGGAGTGTAGAATGAAGCTAACAACAAACTGCAAAAAACTCCTGATATATCTATGACAACCAACTAGCTTCTTTTATGCTTATGGTGAGCACTAATATGGGTTAGGAAAGCCAAACCAGCTCAATCCCATTTCCAGGGCCACATACATGGTGTAGCTCTAGCTCCGATCAAGTTTCACTTCTATTCGGGTTTTCTTGAATAAATGGCGACATCGCATGCAAGAAATGCTACAACATCAACCCAACAAAAATTGAAACAAATAGAGTGGAATCATTTGTCAGAAAATTGTTTAATAAGGGTGAGGACCTTAAACTTTCCCTTAACCTGTCCCAAACCCAGGTAAAAGAAGTACGCTGCGTTAGGTAGGCAGCCAGTGTAAAACTATGACCCATCTTATCATAATTCCTGAACCTCTGTCATGAATCCTTGTGTACGAGAATTCCACCGAAACAAAAAAGAATTAGCCTAAACTACGAGAAGGAAGAAGAAAGGTTTTGTATTTCTTTACGTGTTATGCCCTATCCCATGAATTACAACCCATTTTCCTGCAAGGGACTAGAGTATAGACATGAGGAAGGACTGAACTCAATAAAGTGATCATATATCTAGTTCTATAAACATAAGGCATCAGTCCTGTGGGCAAAGCCTATCATTCAAACCTTTAATATTTCTTTTAATACAAGGTCTTAGGACTGGCCTTTAAGGATTTAATTAGGGGGTAAGCCACATAGTAGATCATGATTTGGAACCTTGAAGTATGTAAGAAAAACCAACCACATTAATCTACCCTTCCAGCATATCAAAAGAAAGAAGGATATGGTGTAAGTTCTCAATTATGTGGGATCCTTCTAAATATTTCTGAGATGCTCCAGTCTCAAATGATGGCCATATAATCAGCAAGATACCTAGGCCGCACTATCTGAATGATTTAATGGGGTAGATGGGCTTGTGATGGCCATTGAGACTTCCCAATCCTAGCCCAACAACATCAATGAAGGCCTAAACCATGCAATCCCTGTCAAAATTACAGATGAGAGAGAGTTAAAATCCAGTAATATTATCTTAGAGAAGGCAATTCTTGAGAAAACTAGTTCTTGACTCATAATACCACTGGTAAAAAAAGTCCATCACTTGCCACCCAAGGAGTCAATTAAGTTCATGAAACTGGCTCTGCATTTGGACCATGCAAGAAACTTTGTTTAAGCCCCAAACTACTGAGAGCACTTCAAGAAGCAAATAGAATAAGGCACACCACAAAGTAAATGTCCAAAGTCTTCTTATTCAAACATGCAAGGTCTTCGAGTAGGCAATGGATTTCATGATAAGTCCAATAAAATTCAAGTTCAGGGTATAGATAAACAATCCCCTAGGATTTGGATTTTCTCTTTTCATCTATGATATAGTGTTTACGATTCAAAGCATATTCATGAACAATTAAAAGAGAGAATCAAAACACATACATGCATACTACCCAAGAAAAATATTTTTTTTTTTGAAACTGTTAACTGTACCTAAGAAAGATACTTTAATAAAAATAATAAAAAAAAAAAAGTACCCAAGAAAGATACTTCAAAAAAACAATGAGCCACGTATATATTTCTAAGAGACGTTGCCAAGCTAACTGCAACCATGAAGTTCAACTGTCTAGGATTGTATAACCCTTAGTTCCATAATTTCCATTTAATCTCACTGATACTTCCACATCTTAAATAGGAAAAATAAAAACAAAAACAAGAAATCATACTTGAAAAAAGAGCCCCTTATATAAAACTTAAATAACTTGGTTTATCTTCTTGCATGGAGCGAGTGTAAATAACTTTGTTTATCTTCTTGCATGGAACAAGTGCAAACTCGCGAGGAATAGCAGTATTTGAAGTCTGATCAGTACAATTCCCGGCATAAACTAATCTTCCACTTCTAATTTCAAACCACAGGGACGTGCAATCACGTTTCAAACCACAGGGACGTGCAATCACGTTGGAAGCCATGTCCGGTCACCTGTGACCGAATTGTATATCAAGAAAACCCCTTGATTCCTATTATTCTCACAACAAAGCAACCCCCTAGAAGAAGCTTTAATGAACTCTCCACGCGGCTTTAAGTAAGGGATGACACTTATTGATTGGTTCTAGTCAACGAATACAGTTAAAGAAGCTGCTTTCTATTATGAATCCAGAACAGACAGCCGATCTGAGACAATATGCCTGGATAAAAAAGGGATCACACAAAAGACGATACCATCTTTTGTTCACACACCTAAACTTGAGTACGGACTTCAGTGGCAACCTGGATAGTATCTCTAACAAAGGATACTCAGTTTTTCCAGCCATCATCTGATTCTTCTTTACATCAACTAGCTCATTTTCATCAGCATTTTCTGCTCTACTTGGTTTGGAGAATGGAAGGATCTCTTCCATTAACTGTAACAGGTTTTGAAAGGATCAGCAAAGATACAAAACTATTAAGGACATAAAAATTCCCAAAGTGAAATAATAAATCTAGAAAGCATAGGGGAAACCAGAAATAATTTTTGGATGGTTGCTTTTGTGCAAAGAATCAAGAAAATAATGTGAAGGACTCTAATTCATAGTAATTTCATTATAATTGCTTCTGTGCAAAGAGAATGAGCAAACAAAAGCTAGGTAAACTTCATACAAAACGAGCAACAAGAATGCGTAATCCCCTTTGTCATGTTTTTATTATTCCAAAGAGAACTAAACTGTTAAAGACTGAAGAATGCTACTAAGCTAACTCAAGTAAGTCAAAAGATCATTCGCTCTTGCAAGAGTGTTTCCTCCCCTCGGGTAAAACCCAATCTAGGAGGAACTCTAAAACTGGGCAATGTAACCTCTTCAATCTAGCCACGACCTCAAAAACAATAAATCTCATCAATAAAGCGAACTTTCTGTCAAACAAAAATAAACCATTCGGTGAAAATAAAAAATGTCCAAGAAAAAGAACCGCGAAAATAAACAGAACTGGAAGTGAGAGGGAATCACTACTTTTGGGGTCTCTGAAAAACTCAATTAGTCAAGTTAGATTGAATGAGGAAGGTCCAACCCTTTGCTGCCATTTAAAATTGAAAATGTTTTTGGATTTTCAATTAGGGTTAACAAACAAATTACAGTAGATAACAACGGTGAACAAAAGGAGGGAATTCTTAAATACCTTAGATCGCAGGATTATTCAGATGTGTAAAGGTAAAACCTAAAATCACGTATCGATCATGAGAGAGACAAATGGGATGAGAAGTCGAAGAGCCGTCAACAGAGAGAGAGAGTGAGAGTGAGAGTGAGAGGCTAATTAGACGATGGAGACAGATCGTTTCAATCCCGTGAGTCGGAATATTATTTGTAATAATATTGGGCTTTTTTTTAATGGAAAAAGTTAATATAGAGCTCTAACCAATCAAATTTGAGCCTATATCAAAAATTTTACTTGAGTTTGTTTTGATGTTGATGTGTAAAAAAGAAAATAGATTTCAAGTTTTGAAAATAGTGCACCTTGTAATGTATTTTTTGACCTTCAATTTTAAAGATTTTCACCTTTTCATAGCTTGTTCAATCTATATTATTTTTTAAATTTTAAATTTTATAATTAAAAATGAAAATATATTTAAAAGCTATCACAAAGATTTCCACTATTGAAATCACATTTCTCGATGCTATTTGAAAATGCACTTTATTTTTATTGTTTAGATCCTCAACCCTATAAAAATTACACCCTTTTTAAAATATGGATGCGGTTTGTATAAAGCCGAGGCTCTAACAATCAAAGTAAAGTGCACATTCAAAAAGTGTCTAGAAATATGGTTTCAATATTGAAAAAAATGGATTTCAAATTTTAGAAGTAGTGCATCTTGTAACGCATTTTTAGACCGTCAATTTTCAAGTTTTCATAGATCTGCTCAATCTACATTATTTTTTAAACTTTAAAATTTATAACTAAAGATGAAAATATAATTTAATGCAATCACAAAACTTTCCAATATTGAAATTACATTTCTCCATACTATTTGAAGGTGGGCTGTAATTTGATTGTTTAGAGTCTCCGCTCTATACAAACTGCGCCACACACATACATACATATATATATATATATATATATATATATATATAT